TTTTTATTTTATACACATTTTACAGAATTCTGACATCATTGCCTTTGACGTTGCAGTATTTTATGTCTACGTTGATTTGGAAGTGTTTAACTTCTAAATATTTTCTGTGCTCTTCTTTTTTATTTAATTTTTTTTTTATCTTATCAAATATTTATAGGGTACCTCCAGACCCGTCGTTTTCTGCTGGGAGCGTGTCACCTTCGGTCCCCACAACCCAAAAATAAAAATAAAAATTGATATGCGCCCCTCCCCTCCACTGGATTCGCGTCCTAGTAGGTAGTCCGTTTCCCTCGCTACTTTCGATGGCAGTAGATATTTCTAAATAACAGGTCCAAGCAATTTAACTGTATAATATGGAATTTCCCACCTAGTTGTATTTGACTTGAAGTTACCCCTTTTCTATGAAGATATTTACATATTAGCACGAACATATGGAGGGTATCACATATATCTTCAACAGTGAGTTTAAATTTGAAAAGTTTTTGAGGAGAAGCAAACGCAGAATTGGGGTCTTTCACTGTTTTTAAACAGCTTGATTCCTTATAATCAGATTGTTATTTTCTATTTCTTGTCAGACATATTTTGCCCTCCTTAAGGATATCATTTGTCAACGTAAACAACTTTTATTATTACTGACTTATAATTAAAACTTTATTACTTTCTATAAAACCTTTCTTGAGCCAACCAAATTCCTCATCTGCTGGCGTTGAAACGCGATTCCTGCACATACATCCAGTAACCCAGAAACCCGATAACAAAAATGTTAAGTCGAACTGCCTCTGTAACAGTTTTCTTTTCCAGCATCCCTTATCTGAATCTGGCCGAGATTTAGTTTGCACACTAGACACGTCGACGTCGTGCCAGATATACATAAGAAACACATGATTTTCCAGGTCACTGGAAAACATGCTCCTGAGCGAGCTTTACTGCTCTTTATATCTGGGTAATTTAACAACTTCCTCAGGGTACTTTTTGAATATCTATCTATTCTTAGAATGCCATTTTCCAGACGCCGATTTGGTTCAATGTTAGTAACAATTTATCTCAACTTTAAACTCAGGGAAGCAACGATCGAAAAAGCGAAATACGATACACACTTGTCACTTTTTTTCGTACGATACCGACCTTTGTCATGAACACTATTTTTCTTTATTCGGTAGCTCCTAGGGTAACAACTTAAAGTATATGTGTCATTGTCATTCATGGGCGACTCCGCCAGCCATCTCTTTGAACACGTTTTTGGAAACAAACGCTTATAGCAGCCTCTTCAGATTCTTTTCTTGCGAGACGGTAGAATTTCACCTATGACAATTATTAATCATATAGTTACTCAAAAGACTAAAAGTCTGATATAGGGTTCTTTGAGTAAAACACACCCACACACGATGAATGCTCACTAGCGGAACATTATGAGAGGTCTGAGGTATGGAGGTGGATTACCGCCATAATTATATGCGTATATTTTCTAATCTTCCTTGATCCGTTATTGCAAATGGCTGCTTACAAGTACTACTTTCATAATTCTATTAATGTATATTGTATTTCTTCATTTATGCAAATTGTAGGTTGCAGTGTGCTAGTACTACTTTCCTTTTGCATTATTGTAAATGTTGCTTGCAAGTGCAAGGTTCATAATTCTAGTCATAATTTTATATTCTTCATTGATGCAAGCTGTAAATGGCTACGTGCAAGTGCTTAGATATACTTTCCTTCTGCGTCATCGTATCTTGCAGATTGCCAACTACTGAACTGATTAATGTTTATAAACTTGACATATTACAATTGCATCATTTCAGCTGCTGTTTTCTTACAGATTTGGCATTGCAACAATGTAAATATCAAGTTTTAACAATATCGTCTTTGTAGTCCAGCTCGTGTCGCCATCTGTTGTCATAATATCATACTTCAGATTAGAAAGGCATTATGACAACAGACAGCGCTCTAAATTTCTAAAGTTTTTCCTTTACCAGAAATAAAACTCCCCATGGAACTTTACGGCATTCATTTTGTGTCGATAAACATTGTAACTCTTTCAGTCCATTTTTAAGGTGTACGTTAGCAATGAAGTTTGTATCGTTCTCTAAAACCACGTGCTTTCCTGCAGATCTAAGTGATTTAAAGCACCTTACGAAAAAAAAAAAAAAAACCGCATGCACTACAGCAGGATGGTCCATCTTCTTCAACCCGTTTTCACGCACTGAAATATTTTATTTACTTTCACCGTTTAAAAAAACATTAGCAAAGTAAGGATCAGAAATGACAATGATATATTCCCTCGTACTATTTTTAGCCAACTTTCATCAGAGTAACCCTGGTTGTAAGGATCGTATTGTACGTCACCCATTTTGACACACCTCACAGCCGTGTTCTCTGTTCCTGTGATGCTATTATACAGAAACTCAGGTGAAAATAACATATTTTAAAGAAACATCAATATCACATAAATATGTTTATAGGTAAATTGACATTAAACAAAAAAGCATTCATAAAGTTCTTATTTCTATTAAAATTTTCTTTTTAATCAAATTGTGCAAAATCATGTTCGTATAAAGATAAAGTTATATTTTTTTGCGATTAGAAGAATTAGGTTCCTTGTATGATAATTTTCCAAAACTTGATTTGCTTTGTTAATGTACAGAATCTCAACCTTGAATGCAGTTCTAAAAGAAATCGGGGTTTTTTTTAAACAGCTTAGAAACTGGTTTGCAATCTGAGACAAAAGACTATTACTTAAGATTTTATTTTTATTCATTGTAATTCTTAACGTTATCAAACCAATCGAAAACAATAAATTAGTTCAAAAATTTTATAATTATAAATATAGCACCATTAGGTTAGAATTATTCAGCTGCTCTGTGACATTAAAAGAGTTATATAAAAAAAAATTTGAGAGAGAGAGAGAGAGAGAGAGAGAGAGAGAGAGAGAGAGAGAGAGAGAGAGAGAGAGAGAGAGAGAGAGAGAGAGAGAGAGAGAGAGCATAAAACTGCATATTTCATTACGTTATTTAACTATACATAAATCCTAGGTCGACTGTCGAGTATGGACAGTTTTAGAGTCTTTCATTCGACAAAATAAAAAAAAAAAACTTTACTGATCATGCTTAATAATTATACAGGGTACAATTTTTCTGATCAGTTTTTTTTTATATTTAGTTTGATTTTATGTAATTGCCTTCACGGATCCTGTGTAGTCGAGGGTGTTTTAGGATAGCCTTTTGCTGTTTTATGGTTGTCATGGAGTCTTTCATTTGGTGATAATTACCAGCATGGGTAAAAGTCTCCTGATTATACTCGATAATTATACAATGCAGGATCACTGTCCTTTTTTAATGTTTGATTCAATATAACTGTATAGGTGGCGCTCTACAGTTTCGTATTTAGCATAAGAAAAAGAGTTTCCCCGGGTTTCCTCACTAGTTATACTGGCTATTTAAAAGAGACTTTGTATATCTTAGGTATTGTTCAAAGAACCTTTAATTCCCTTTATTTTGATGTATGATTGATGGGTGTAATATGGGTTAGAGAGTATACAGCATGGCCTTACTCCAGATGTGCATGATTCAAGAAAGTGCTAGTTCTACATGCTCATTTTCACTTCTCGAACTTCAGAGATAAATTGTAAAAAAATAGAGCCGATAATTTTTTTTTACATTTTATGTATTTGGTAATTCATTCATTGCACTTTTAGAAGCTGGTATTGTCTAGTTTGGCAAAATTCATTTTCCATATTTTAAAAGCTGCCAAGAATAGTGTACTTTAGACAAATTGAGGTTGATTTTTGGAGCACAAGGGAGCAGTCATTTTAGTTAGCAGTGTCCTAAGATCATTTAAAATTTCCAAAAATACAATATCCAAAGAAATTTCAGCCACATTACATGAAAGTAGTATATGGGTATGGAAACATTCTCTCCAGTACGTATTTTTAAAGTACAAACAACTTCACCTTACATACATCACTCTCTCAAAAGTACATAATAACTGGTGAGCGCCACCATACGTGTATCCTGGGTAGGTATTTTTTTTTTACTGACAGTCTTGTGCTAGGCACATGACTTTCAGGGTGATAGGGAGAAAAATGAAAGTGTTGGATGTCTAATTCATACACAAGTTTTTGGAAATAATCAAAGACAAAATGGCTGGGCAGATTTAGGGAGGCAAACAAATGTTACTAAACGTTTCCTAAACTTTTAGAAGTTTTTGCTTTAATATGCTTCAAAGGAATAACCTATGTAAATCTTCAGGACACACATTATGACCAGCAAATATTGGTTGACTGGACTTGATATTAGGTAAGGACCGACAGTCTACCATTTTTATGCTAAATGGCTTGTCAAATGGTCAAATGAAGGAATAGGTTGCAGATGTGCCTCAGATATCTATCTTTTGATTAGGATTTCGTACCATTTTACAAGTGTGACAAGATCTATGGTACTTATAAACAGCACTTTTAATTTTTGGCCAATAAAAATAATTCAGAATCTTGCAATGAGTCTTATCGACACCAAAATGAACATCTTAAGGAGTTTTATGGGCTACACTATGAATTTCCAATCTATAAGACTTTGGAACAATAGTTTGTTCACTGGCCACTCATCATCAGCAGGTATATCAGGTGGTCTTCGTTCTCATAATAACCCAATTTTTGCACAAAGTAACAAACTGGTACTTGTGTGGCTTCAATTTCTGAAACCGGTCTTGTCTTCTCTAAGGAATATTACTTAAGGGCCTGTAACTTATTAACGTGATAAACTTGCGTGCTTATAGTTGTCTTTATAATTTTTGCTTAGCTTTAACAAGTTTTCAGTCATATCGCTACGATGTCTGCAGTGTGGCAGTTTATAGTGATGTCTAGCACTGAGGCATCATGCCGCAGACATGTAGCATGATGTCCCACCCAGTCACATTATCCTGACACCATGCCGACCAGTCCTAACACTAACCTCTTAATGCTGAGCGTCAAGCGAGGCAGCTGTTAGTACTATTTTTGTAAGTCTTTGGTATGACTCGACCGGGGATCGAACCCACTACCTTCTGTATCCAAGGCGGACGCTCTAACCACTAGGCCACCGGAGCGGTAGTTATTACTTTCTCTTCAGATATTTTACAACTGCAGTCAGAAATTGGTCAGTCCTTTCTATTATTCTGTGAAGAAACTAACTTATGAATCTCTCTCTCTCTCTCTCTCTCTCTCTCTCTCTCTCTCTCTCTCTCTCTCTCTCTCTCTCTCTCTCTCTCTCTCTCTCTCTCTCTCTCTGTGATGCTATCAGTAATTCCGTAAATGTATAGGAGTTCCTCTTAATTTGTTCTAATCCATTAAAAATTTAAAAAAAACCCTACACATCTGCAAATATTGGACGCATTTGACAGTTTTGCTGAAATGGATAGTTTTATCTTGTTGTTTAAGCTTGTTGATAACTTCCTTTTGGTTTTAAACGTGGACAAGTTGACAGTGTTAATGACCCACCCACCTGCGACAACAATCAGGCTTGAAATTATAAATTGATGAATAATGAAATTACTATGCTTGGTACCTTTTATATATCCTTGCTACTGTTCCCTTTAAAAAAGGCGGTTGGGGTACAAGCAAACAAGAGGGTGTGCTAATACTATAGGATTTCCTTACTGCGTAGACGGAGTTAATTATTATAGCCTTGGGGCCTTTTTACAGGTATTAAATCTCTTTCGCAGTTTAGAAGTCGACTGAGCGCAACCATGGCAATGTTTTCCAACTCCGTTCTGTATTTTGATAGTTAAACGACCTCAAGACGTCGATAAATGGCGACATTTTTTTTTGTTTTTACAACTTGCCATTACTATACAGTGAAATTGTTACTTTATGTTCCTGAGAATGTTGTTGTTTGATGCTTCATGCTATTTTTAGCGCATGATAGGTTTTTTTTTTTTATATGGCGGCACTAGGGTTGGTGTCATACAGTGTAGTAACTCATAGTGCCCCCCACCTCCTTCCTGCACAAAAATTCAAAAGTTGTATAGACAGTAATGTGCGGTAATTCATGGTTTCCCCCACCCATGTCCCCCCTTCATGCACAAAAATTCAAAAATTTTATAGCCAGTCATGTGCAGGTAACTCATGGTGTCAGGCACATGGACATCTTACCTGCCAACAAATAAAAAATTTGTATAGTCATTTTGGAGTCACCCCCGCTGATTGTGTTACCCTGTGCGGTCCGCCCTCCCCCCAGTGACGCCACTGCATGATGTAACCCGGGAAGAACCACACACAAATGGCAAGCTGTTTCACATACCCAAAGTTCTAGAAAAGTTATCGAATTGCAATGAAAGAACTTTTAGTATGTGCATGATTTTAAAAGTTTCATGTGCATTATTTTTAAAAAAACAAAGTTTTAATCTGCGCCAACGAATGGGCAGCCCTTTATGGCCAATTACGCCCACCCGTTTAACTGTCTTTTGAAGTCACGTTCAACCAATGTTTTCCAGTTACCCGTGTTCAAACATACTCAATTGCATCTAACAAATGCGTACATATTACCTAGGATTTAGCTTTACTTTATTGCTTGTGAGTGGACATCATATTGTATTTAAAAGAAACCTCAACATGACCACTCTGTAATTTGAGATCTTTATGAGCTGTATTTAATCCAATCATGTCAAACTGTTTTCAGTAAAAGTATAGCTTATAAGTAGAGACAAACATCAAAGACAATGATTTGCCTTAGCATAATGCCTATCCAGATAAAGGGTTAATATTCTGTGTTCTACTGATTACTCCTAACAAACGGCACAGACCCAGATCTGCTGGCGCATTATGCAATGTCAGATCTTGGCCAGGGCAGTTTGCAGTTGGATACGTCTTATAAGTGAGTACTTACGGTACATAGGCCTTAATCTGCTGGTCCAAAGGGACAAAATCTATTACAAGTCCCACTCATTCTGGTCAATACCTTTTGGTTTTCAAATATAAATTCAACCCAAATTTAAGATAATTACATGTAGTTCAGAAATTAAAATCTTTGTATTTTTCTGGTTTTCATACACAAAACAATAAACTTATACTAAAGTATGTGTCAGTAATGTTTTGATATTAATACTCCTTAAATTTATAATTTAAATTCCTTATATATGTAACAGTCAGAAGATATAAATTAATTAAAAATGATTGTCTGCAATAGTTCTTAAGAAAAGATTATTATTTTCTTCTTATTATTTATTAAGAAACATTATTTCCTTTATAAAGGGTATGATGAATCAATTTCAGCATTTGCAGGTGAGCAAGCACTTCATAGTTTTTCACAGCTTAGCCATTTTGAACCCTAACTTAAATCCATCTTTGTTGTTGACCAATATTCAAGTCAATGCACTCTCACTGAGGAAAATTTAGGGATTGGTTATTATTTTATTTTCTAATGGTGCTTCATTTACATGCTCTTTAGTAACAAAGAGAACCATCTCAAGAATCGCCCGACGCATCAATTTCCAGTAATTACTGTTCTACAAATACTGTACGTTTGTCTTTTTTTTTTTTTTACCATCACCACTCCATAAAATGAAATAGGTAACATGTTTTTAAAAAGTAATATATGAAGAGAGATAACTATTTTAAAATTTCTTAACATTGATGTTGATGAATTACTGTACATGTACTGAAAAAATGGTTTTCTTTCTTAATAAAAGAATACATAATTTCACTTGGAATCAGATCAGTGATCCTCTCAGTAAAAATCAAGCTAGCAGTTAACACATGAAACCATATGAAAGATCTTTAATTTTACTCCATCTTTTTAATTACTTAAATAGACAATATAAAGTAATAAATCGATGAATAAAAAACATATTAACTGAATTCATACTTCTCAGAAATAATAAAAGGATAAAGGGAGTGGACCATCTTTGACCGAGTAACAAAGTCAACCTCATTTGTATATCTCATGAAAAACTATTTCTATAGGGAAAAAAAAATGTGAACATATTTAATTTGACTATATTGCAATGATGTTTTACTGCAAAAGCATTCCAAAAACAGTCTTTATTGGAGGGATGTTTGGAACATATTTCATTTTGCTCTCATACTTAAATTACAGTGTGTAAATTTGTATTTTCTCTCCTGCTTATACATAATCAATACACAATTGTTACTCAGACAGCTATAACATTCAACTGTTGTTAAATGTAGGGTTGAAATATGTTGGAATATAATTTGTAGCTAACCATTGCATATATTGCAATCATATTAAGGTCTTTAATCAAGAAAAAACAAATGGTTTGGGCTGTCAATTCCTCATTCTGGCAGTAATAATATAACTTCTAAGCAAGTGATCTAAACCAACTATTAAGTTTGAAAATCCAGACCTAATATTAATATAACTCTAGAGGATTCAAAGACCCGATACCTTTCCAGTAAACGAGCTTTTTTTTTAATTATCATCATAAAATAATTATTTCAGGTTGATAAATGGAATTTTATATTTTTATTTACATTATGAATAGCCTGGTTAGACTTTCATGCTCTTTTGGTAAGGTTTCATCTTTTACAAATTTGAAAATATTTGAGAATTAATAATTGTTTGACATGAACCTTGTACGGAAAATCAATTAAACTCACAAGTTAGACAAATGGAATTTAGTAGGAAAATTTGTAATATACCCATGTGCCGATTAGCATATCAAGCCATTATAGCAAATGTTTTATTTTTTAAAACCAGTAACGTTTTGACCAAAACCTTGTTAGCATTTACACTGTAAACTAGAAGAAAGAGACTATTCAGCAAACTAGGCTAGATTAGATATTCAGATATACTGAGTAGGTAACGACGTCTGTTTAAGTTCTGATGATTGTCCTTAAATTTTAATTTTGCATACCTATTTAAAATTTAGAAAGGCTTTTATTTTTTAAGAAAGAAACTTGCTGACGTGGCTTAACAACAATCACTCAAGGTAGACAAATAGAATATAGAAACCATGTTTAGTAATAATATGTAAGTTATCTTTATAGGATTTCAGACCAGTATGGAATTTTTCCCAGTTTGCTCTCATTTAGTAATGTTTTGAATTTGGAATTGTTTTTAAACCAAATACTGTTAGTTCAGTTGTGAACAATACTTGATGCAGACAAGATATGCATGTCAAAATGAATATATAGATGATTTCTTGAGATTTCATGTTATTATAGCAGTTCTTCACTTACGTTCCTTCCAGATATACATTTTTTCTCCCTGACCCCCAAAACCATTGATTTGTATGTCATGCCAACTAATAACATTACCTTAACTTCATCTTGCAAATTATTTCTTTCAATGTATCAAGTACCAGCATAAATTGAAAGACATAACAAACATGGGTAAGGTGGATCTGTTTTTGTCCTTCAAAAATAAATTCATTTCATTTCACTAAAGTGTATTTATTATGCAATTGCATAATAAATACTCTTTGGTAAAATGAAATGGATTTATTAGGTAAATGAGCATTTTTAACTTCATTTAAAATTCTTGGTTTTACATATAAAGATTTTCTGCATCCAGCCATCTTGTATATGTAATTACTTGGCAAAAATGCTTGTGCATCCACCCAAAAGAAATATTTTTTCTCAAAACATAAACTTTATACGCCCCTGTGACTTGAAAAGGTTTAAAACGAGTGCTGATTTATTGTAATGTGCTCCCCTTTGCAGGTGATATAACTGTACCATCACCTGGGTCAATTACAGTTTTATAAACAGAAGCTTGCAGTGACCCCTCATGCCCATGCAACTATGTAATACTTTCACAATGTATTACTTCTTCCTCCCCCTCCCCTCCCCTCCCAAAAAATATATTGCACCATCACTTGGGTCTACATTTCATTTGCTATATGCTTGTCTATATTTCAGTGTTAGCTGTGAAATTGTGTGTACTTCTTATGGAAAATAATCCGTTATTGTCAACAAGTATGCATGAAATACATGGAAATGTTCAAAAATATGAAAAAGGAGTAATCTCCCACCACATTGTTTGGAGTTGGAGGTTGGTGAGTGTAAATGAACTTATTTGTTCGGATGGGTGGAAAAAACTAACCACTTGTCCACAGAAAAAATTTAACACCATGTATAGATGGCAATG